ACAAATGACATCATATGACCCGGAAACTTGGCGATCTTTCAGTTCGGCCAGTTCATTAAAAAGACCCTGAGCATCCGTATATAAGCAGGCTAGTTTCCCGGTCTCTAGAAGCCCACAGAGGGGTGAAGGGGTCAAGTGTGGGAGAATGCCGACCGATGGGAGGTCGGCAGTTACTCATATTTTTGGTAGGATAATGACACCTCGTTTGAAACTTGATTCGGCCAAGGTGCGTCTCAACCTTCGTTTAGACCTACGTCACAGTCAATTAAAGCAGCAATTAAGTTACGCTTCTGTACATTCGTCGGTTTATTTACTGTTTCAGGTGCTTTGATATTTGAACTTTGCAAGCTTCTGCGGCCTTCAACCGAAGTTCAGGAAGAAGACTTTCTCGATTTCTCCGCCATCGATCCAACACATCTAGAATCTGAACCAGAAGTTTTAGGACTCTAGGGCCGCATCCTCTATAATTTGGTGACAGAGGTATCCTGGTGAGCGATAACGCAACAATATTATTTAAAGAAAGCTTTCACGTATGAACCGCCACTGTTCTAAATCGTGCTTTCCGGTCTCTTGAACACTGTTAGAAAGAGGTTCTGGCACGCCATTTATGAAGATTGTGCTTAGGCGGTCTTGCTTGCTGTGTCGCTATTCGGTGTTTCTTCTTGATTGTCGTGCGCTCGAAGGGACATCAGGATAGATGCGTATCCCACAGGATCCGTGTTTTAGCGCGCCTGCGGAGAACAAAACGTTTTCTACGTCGGTGGAGGATTCTAGAGTTACTCGACTAAGTCTGGGTTCTCCATAATGTGGCAAATTCGGATGACGAGTAATTCGTAATAAGTTTATGGGCTTAGCTTTGACACTCATCAGCAGGCACAATGAGTTCCCTTGGTCTTGATCGTCCGATAACTTATCCCGCAAAGTGATGGCGGTAGATCCAGAGACATTTGAGCATACAACAGTCCGGGCACTATTGTTGGATCCCTTTCGATTGTCTACAAGATAGAGTAGTCGTTTGTCTTGACCTGCTGACAAGTGTTGTTTGTTTGTTGTTTGTCCCTCTATTCGCGTTAACGGTGTTTATAACAGAAGAGGCCGCAACAGCGGCCTCTCGGTGGACCTTCGCAGCAAGCTCTGCATATGTAACCGATGTTCTGGGAGGCTTAGTCTCGACAAGAGATATTTGAGCTACAGGTACCAAGGGTTGGTGTTTAGCTGCTCCATCCTTGTTTGTGCTAGATGTCAGGTCTTGGGATCTGCTTAACCAGACGTTTCGTGTGGTGCCTGCTTTTCGTTGCCATGAGTATTGTTTGGCTCTCATATCTACGGTCAGTTTTCGCCTGGTGTTCTACCAAAGTTGGAGAAGACGACGGAGATGGGGAAGTGGCTGAGTGCGGTTCAAGGGAAGCGGATTGTGCAGTATTCCGTTGCTTAGAGGTTACAACGCTTCCCTGGTGCATACTCGCTCCTAATGAAATAATCTTATCGTTCATCCTATGCTCAGCTTCTGTGGTTAACCGGTCGCACTTCTGGACTGGGATAAGCAAACACTTAACGAGTGGGATGGTCGAGCACGCAGTACAGAACGAAAGTGCATCATGGGAGCTACTTCGCTCTCTTACCTGTTGTTGGGACGCATTTGTACAATTCAGATTATATCATTCCAAACAATGCGAGCAAACCAAAATTATTTTACCTAAGCTGTGAGATTCTCCTAACTCGTAAATGCCTTTTGCTTGGAGCTTTTTCGGATTCGCATTTCTGTTATTCAACGTGGTATCGTTACCTGACTCAGTGAGTTGGTTGGCGTTCTGTGCTTTTCCAGTTTTGAGAACAGCGTACATCGGTCAAGTGAGCGTTGTGGTTACAAGGTCAAATGAGCGGTCGGCGTGGTCGCGCGGTCCGTGTGATGAGTTATACAGGCGCACTGGCTGCCAAGGTCACAAGGAAGGGCGAGTGATTGGAAGCTGTTAACAGAATCTGAACACAACGCTGAACACAGATTGCGAAACCACAAATTTCGTTAAGGCAGAGAGAAGACAGAGGTTGCGATATGTTAACATTTCGATTGTTCTCCTCAGTCGCAGACACAATACGATCAGAAACATACAAGGGATTATATACATGGGGGAAAAAGGCACCACCAATCAAAATGTCACAGTCAAGACCATGGCAACCGAATGGATTGCCTCAAGAGTTTCTGTGCACATAGCACAGGTTGATAAGCCTTAATTAACAACGCCTCACTAATTGCTAGCATTATCGGGTTTTTGTTACGCAATAACACTGTCTCGGGGTTTACGTAATGACGGGTTGTCATGAGGTGCTTGGTGATAGACGATGTCGGGCTCCGATTGATTCTCAAATTCGTCCCATGTTGTTGCGTGATCACTTGTCCCAACCACTTTGGCAAGTGTTCAGCTACCCTCTGAGCTAACTGACGGTTTGTTCTGCCTATGTAAATGTCACCGCAACCGCAGGTGAACTGATAAACAACGTGAGAGGCCGAACTACCCGACGAGATGCTCTGACGGTTATGAAGAACAAGTGCTCGCGTGGTATGCCTGAGTCGCAACTGGGCTGTCGTGTAGGTTCGCGTTAGGGCGGACCGGAGCTTGCGTCCGATGTCATTTGCCACATGGTCCCCCTTGAACGGCAAGAACAAATAATCATTCTTTTTCTCAGCCGTCAACACCGGTGTTTTCACACTGGGAGGTCTGCTGTGTACCTGAATAAACTTCTCAGGATATCCATTAGAAATTAATGTCTTGCGTAGAAATTCTTCTTCGGCTTGTAACGTTTCGGGGCTACAAATACGCCTAGCCCGGTAGAATAGAGTTTTCACTAACCCGCGTTTGTATGCGATCGGGGCGAAGCTTGAAAAATGAAGGTACTGTCCAGTCCAAGTCGATTTGCGGTGAACAGAGCGCTGCAACGTACCTTCAGCCTGTCGCTTAATGAGTATATCCAAAAACGCCAGGCAGTGGTGTTTTTCCACTTCATGGGATACGGACAGATTAGGGTGAATCGAATTTAGGATGGTCAGCAGCCGATTAAAATGTTCTCCGCTGGTGAAGACTAAAATGTCATCCACATATCGTCTATACAATTTCGCTTCACCAATGCTCTCAGTAACTTGTCTTTCTATCAGGCCGAGGAAAATGTCGGCTAAAACTGGTCCCAGCGGGCTGCCCATAGCGACTCCGTCGATCTGTTTGTATGCGGTCCCCTCAAATTCAAACCGTATGTTTTCGGTGCACAATAGAATCATATCCTTTAAATACTCCACTGGCAGGCCAACAGAGATATTTTGACTCAGGATAAAATCACATAAATTATCAACCGTCTCACGTAAAGGCACATTTGTGAATAAGGAGTCCACATCTATTGAGTACATAAGCTCTCCACTCAGTGACAATTGTTCCAGTGTCTCAGCTAGTTCAAAGGAGTCCTTCAGGCAATACGTAGCGAGGAGTTTACGCACCGGATCTAATAGTTTGGCCAGCCACCGCGCGACATTGTGATAAGGTGAATTGTTCATGCACATAATCGGACGTAGCGGAAATCCTGCTTTGTGTATCTTGGGAGCGCCTCGCATTCTAGGTGTCTGTGTCCCGGTCGGTCTATTCTACCGGGCTAGGTGTATTTGTAGCCCCGAAACGTTACAAGCCGAAGAAGAATTTCTACGCAAGACATTAATTTCTAATGGATATCCTGAGAAGTTTATTCAGGTACACAGCAGACCTCCCAGTGTGAAAACACCGGTGTTGACGGCTGAGAAAAAGAATGATTATTTGTTCTTGCCGTTCAAGGGGGACCATGTGGCAAATGACATCGGACGCAAGCTCCGGTCCGCCCTAACGCGAACCTACACGACAGCCCAGTTGCGACTCAGGCATACCACGCGAGCACTTGTTCTTCATAACCGTCAGAGCATCTCGTCGGGTAGTTCGGCCTCTCACGTTGTTTATCAGTTCACCTGCGGTTGCGGTGACATTTACATAGGCAGAACAAACCATCAGTTAGCTCAGAGGGTAGCTGAACACTTGCCAAAGTGGTTGGGACAAGTGATCACGCAACAACATGGGACGAATCTGAGAATCAATCGGAGCCCGACATCGTCTATCACCAAGCACCTCATGACAACCCGTCATTACGTAAACCCCGAGACAGTGTTATTGCGTAACAAAAACCCGATAATGCTAGCAATTAGTGAGGCGTTGTTAATTAAGGCTTATCAACCTGTGCTATGTGCACAGAAACTCTTGAGGCAATCCATTCGGTTGCCATGGTCTTGACTGTGACATTTTGATTGGTGGTGCCTTTTTTCCCCATGTATATAATCCCTTGTATGTTTCTGATCGTATTGTGTCTGCGACTGAGGAGAACAATCGAAATGTTAACATATCGCAACCTCTGTCTTCTCTCTGCCTTAACGAAATGGCTTAAGGGGACCCACTGTTTTAAATCACAAATTCTTTCACAGCTGTGTTGAGAAACGCCGGATCGGAATAAGCTTAGGCTTTTCGGACTGCCTCAAGAATTTTGTAAGACAATTGGCTCAATGTGATAGTTATCCGTGGACGCTTAATCACGGATGACAGTTAAAACGGTTAGTGATGGTAATGAGTTTAATGATAGAAGATAATTCCACGTATGATGGATCACTGTGTAGACCAGATAAATCTGGTTCGAAAGAGCGTACAGTGACTACGTTGCGAGAACATGGAGCGAGGATAGAGAGGAATAATCCAAATGCCACGGTAGCAAGCGCGTCACATGTGTGCGTGGATGACCTTGGGTCCAGACTTAGTGGCAACATGAACCCTAGTTGACGAAGTCATCTACTGCATAAAACAAAACTGTCTCGGGGAACTTGACAAATGAACAATATCAACAAAGAAGAGCAGTTATGTGAGTAATCAGCCTTCGGCTTAACAACGAGATCGCCCAGAAAGTACAAATCGGGAAGTACATATCAGACCTGGTACCAAGCTTACCCGGAGACGGTCGACCATCATCTCTTCCATTTCGTTATCCGCAGAGGTTTCCAGAAGTAGCCGTCGAATTAGATGCGTTTTGTACACTCGCATGAAGATGTCCTTACTGTTGACGTATTTCAACACCAAGAGGACATTCTCCAGTAGCTTTTCGACTTCATCCGAGCTGAGCCGTCTGCTGACTGGCGATTTCCGCAGCATGAGGTCACAATAGGATGCTAACAGCTCCGGGCAACGCGATTCCACCCGGCGTACTCCACTCCTGAAAACAAAGATCGAGAAGTAAAGATAGTGACCAGTCTCAGTACACACCTAGGCGTGGGCGTGGCCAAGAGACGAAAAGGCTCGACAAAAACAGGGTATATTCGAACTATAATCCGACAGCGTGTTATCGTGCGAATTGGTATCATCTTCACAGACATGCAGGCCGTCATTAAATAAATAAACATCTCAAAGAAGTAGTAGGGAAAGTTGAAGGGAAAAGGGATAAATTCATCACATCCAGACGCAGTTAGACAGCCATCACACGTCCGGAAAAGCATTGTACTCGCATTTCGTGTTTCCGGAAATCGTCAGGAGTGCGCATTCCATCTGACCCTTATGTAACTCAGACTAGCGACACAGATGTGTCCAGTCCGTGGTTGAGACTATTTAGGTACGAGGGACGGTAACGACCATTGTAAATAAGTTACTAGATGTGTAATAGCGCCGCTCACTATCCACTGACTGCCAAGGTACTGTTGTACAGAGGACAGGGTAGCCACTCCACCCGATTTAGCAAGCGACCGCGTCCATGAAGGGTGCAGATCAGTAGTTAAATAATATACATCCTCGTCTATGTAGACAGTTGATACGAAGAGTTGGATTGTGTTTCGTTACAGTAAATAATGCATACAAGGGCCCAAGGGGCCAGAACTCCTAATGCGGCAAATATAGACGTTAAGATTTTCGGTATCCACTCCACATAAGAGAAGCAGTTGGTTGACCGAGAAAGTATTGTAGCACATGGAGAAAAACACAAGATGTTGTTATCAATTGTATAGATAGAATGGAATTTGATGATGCAATTAGGTTGTTCAATATGCCAGTTGTTTTAGTTTCAGAGGTTTCGGTATCAGGCTAGACAGCATCCTCATCAGTGCAACTTGCAGGGATGTGTTAGCTTCAGCTGGCAAGAAGACACGACCGCAACCAAAACGACCGACTCGGGTAACAAACTAACTCACTTGTCTACCCAGTAATACGGATATTTTTAATGATTACGAAGGAAATGAAGATAACAAGCGGAATGTTCACCAGAGAAAATGAAAAGTACGCGCTGCTTAGAGTACAAAGTTCAATGTGTACTAGAGAAGGCGACTTATGGAGAAGTTAATCTAATGCATCAGTTCGCTCCGCCTTATACACGGGAAGTTGTAAACACAAAAAGGATACAGTATTGAATGACATTACAATCCACGTAGTGCGGTGTGATGTAGACTCAAGTCGTCGTACAGCATAAAATATGGCACAATGCAACTGACAAAAAGGAATATGGGTTTAGAATTACGATAAGAATAGAGATAGTCATGGGCCATAGAAAATCCAAGCACTAGACAGATATAGGACAGCTTCTCGCAGGAATGCAAATACCCAACATGAAGGAATATGCATTTGTGGAAATGATCGAAGTTCAACAAAATGGACGGCGAGAATGGTGGTGGTAGAACAGCATCTTAGCAATAAATGGAAGGACAAAAGGGTTGGGCACCGCCAGCACTGCATCACCACCGGTCTCTTTTATACTCGTTTGGGCACCTCAGAGAAACATAGCAGCGCTGCCCGTTTGCGATGTAACCAGAAGCCGCTATCCAGAAGTCATTGAGTTACGGCGAGCAACAGTTGTCATAACGGTTAATGATTAGTTGTGGGGGTGGTTATAACACACTGGCTGTGTGAATGGGCTGCGCGTCACAAGGTAACACAGTTAGGGCCACTTGCTAAAAGTAAGTACCTTGCTTCGAACACACACACACATACAAAATTAGAGTGAAAACGAAGAGGGATGGTAGTACGACCATCGGACTCACGAAGTGTGCAAACTAAGACGCCAATACTATGGATGATACAACAAAGGCCAAGTCAAACGTGCCGAACTGATTCGTTTGGAATCATTAGGCATAACTCGACGGATAACGATGGGAATCAGAGTTGTCTTAGGGGGAAACATAAGAGGAGCGCGGATAACAAGAATGGCAGTCATAAGCCAATTGAAATCGGACATGATCAATTAGAATAGAGAGATAGAGGTGAAACTCGTAAGCCGAAATAGCCAGACAGCTAATAAACTGAGGCATCTGTTCGGTTGTGGAACTATGAGGACCGTATCCAACACTTCTCTTCGAACGCGAAAGACTTCACTCGAGTATACAGTGGTGGAAGTAGGGAACAGCGATACAGAAGATATTGATCTAGACATGAATCCGGCTTCTTATAATCATACTAAAGAGGCAGGTCCGTCCTCCTCTTTGTCTAGTGGGCCGCTAATCTGGGCTAGCCATTCAGAAGGTACCAAGGACCAATAGAGATCCTAAGGCAGTTCAGTTTCCTTGATTCCCTATGATATTTCACCGTATACATGAATTGTGATTGTGGTGTACTTCCTCTATTCAGTCCTTATTTTAAGTGATTCTTTGAACATATTTTTTTGACTAGCAAAAGACGATCTATAAGGTCAACACTCATACTAGGAGGGAAGCCTACCAGTCCAAAGTTCAACTCGATTGGTGCAAAACTAGAGTGTTACAAATGAAGCGTTGACAAAAGTGAAGTAAATGCTGCCAGCAGAACACTGTGTGTAGTCAGCCAAACGCAACTACCGAAGTGAAAACACTTATCGTCGCAGTATCTCTGGATGCTCAAAATCGGACGCATAACGATGGTGTGCGAAACAAGGGGAGACTGCTACGGGATCGATGTGGTTATGCTGAAGATGGCCACTCCTTTACTCAGACACTCAAAGACCAGGCAGCAGAGTGTAGCACATGCGCTCACATCTAGTTGCATGGCGGCCACCGGACGACAGGTAAGTACAGATGCTGCACTTAAGTTATGGACAACCAAACCGTCTAGAGCACTCGCTGCAAGTCAGAACACGTTCTAGGTAATGTTCGTGTATCGTTGAATTAACTAACTTCGGCAGTGGGGAACGATGGAAGTGCACAGTTGTCAACAGCACTGGCAATCCACAAACCAGTACGATCAAACCGAACCAAAAGATGAACACTCGGTAGAGAACGAAGTAAACGGTGAATTCTCATTGGAAACGCATTCCCTAACGTGAGTAAAGTGTGGTTGTGATCGTTTGTATTCCAAGCTGGAACCATCCGAATGGCGGATTTGCATCTGGGGCTTTTACAGACTTCCATTGCCACGTGATTCCGGTCGAAAACTACATCTATCACAACAATATTGCGACCAATGCCAACAAATACAGGGCCAAAATGTGTTGAGTAAGCAGCTACTGAGAAAGAGCGCGTATGATTTTATTTGGTCCATTGCAATTGGACTACAAGCAGCTTAAGTAAGCTTACCCATGCGGCTTGTAATCGAATTGCATGAATCAAATAGAATCATATCCAAATCCGTCTACTTATTAGGTAAAGAGTAGTTTAAAAATAAATGCATAGTAATAAAGCAAACTAAGAACTCAACTGAGACGCCAGATGCCAACAATAGCAGTCGGAAACACATTAAGCAATTCCGGAATAGGGTGTGCTTATCGCCTGACTAGAGTGGCGGGTTTCCAAAAATAGCACTGGATCAGGTCTCCAGCTGCCTGTTTCCCGTAACAGACTCTGGCGTTTACCAAGAACGGCAGCCGTTTATATTGTCCAAGTAAATGAGCTCATCAGGCCACAGTCTCTTCAGGCAAGCAGGCCATAAGGAAGTAGTGAATTTAGTCGTATTCATTTTCAATCGCAATGTGCAGGCGAGCATTTAGAAATTTCAGAGACGTTATAGAGACACACTGTCAGGCCGCTAAGAGTTGTCTCATGAAGACATTATTTATGCTAATAATATCCAGTGAATATGGGATCAATAAGATGCAACTGTATTCAGTGACCGCAAATTCAAACCGAATGCCAGCGAACTTTGATACGCATTCAGAACATCTGGCTTAGCCGGTTGGCTGGTGTCAATGTGCTCACAGGGTCGGCGAGAGCGCCTACCGAAACGCACCCGCAGATTAGCACATACAAGTGAATGATCAATGTCCACATGTGTTCCAAATCGAGCGACAGTTTTGGGTGCAGCCTCTCCAGCGGTAACTGACCATGATGGGATCAATTTGCGTTCATGGATAACCTGAAGCTAGTGGGCGCCAGCATGATGGACAGTGAAACCCCGACAATAGCCCTATTTCGACTGACCACTTGGTATGACTTTTCCATCTGTGTCTGTAAGAATCTCTTGATTCATATCTCAGTTGTCAAGATTATCTCCCTCACCCGTTATAAAACGCTACACCACATGCACCAATTCCCCTGGTCTGACGAAGCTTTTGTGTCCAAAAGTGAAACGTTGCAAACCAAATAAACCAACCGATTGTCCCCAAATCTCTCTGAAATCCTGGCATCATGTCATTCTCCTGCGAGTGCTGTGTCGAAAACTAGTGCTAGGGAGAAATAGACAAACCTCTTTACACAGGTATAGCAACCGCTAACCGTTATCATTAAGAAAGCCTATATCCAGTTGGTCGCCCAGTGGACACCATTGGACAATTCCCCAACTTTAATTTTCAGATAACCACAACAATATTCGTTCGTTTGTGATAAAAGTAGTCCTTCATCGACTGTGTTACAGTTTGTGGGAGTGTAGGCCGCAAGAACGAACACGCACCCAGGTTCCACGCGCAACTTCGAAGCTTTGGACGAGCCAGCCATTCCAACGACGTATATTCTGCTGTTTATGTGGATCCAATCGATCAGAGCAGCTCCAGCCAGCAGGCTTAAAGAAATGTAAACACAAGCTTAACCAACATTTGAAGCTGCGTCATCTCCAAATAATAACAAGGAGAAAGCGTCGTCAGAACCAAATGTGGAGGATCTCAGGGTAGTCAAAGAACGTGAATCTTGCAGGTGGGTTTCTGCCAAACAGCAAACGTCGACAGATAACGCCTCTAGTGTTCGGGCAAGTGCTGTCTGTTGATCAAATGTAACAGTGCGCATGTTGAGGCGTACCACTGTTAGAGAGGATCGAGTTTTCCAAATAAACTGTGAAAGTGGCTCTGTAGTACCGCTGGTCGCTGATCGAAGGGTAACAGAAACGCACATCGCATAAATATGTGGCCCTAAGTACCAAGCTAGGCGCAAAATTAGGAGAGCATTTTATGAGTAACTGGATTTTCACTGTCAGAAAGCGAATAGGAAATCCCGATCACAGCAATGAGTTCCCGTTTATCACAGGCTCTGACGGGACTTTCTATAAGCATTCAGTACAAAAATGTGAATTAATTCGTTTGTAGTGTATGGCAGTTTTTGCACAAGCAGTGACCCAACAACTTAAAGATGGAGATGACGTAACGGGCTTCAAGAAAACAACCAGCGCCATTATGCTTACGCAACATGGAAAAAGGAACGCTGACAAACTTGCCTAACTGAAAGCGGTATTTCTGTTGTGAACACAGAAGTGTCGTTGACAATCTCCTGATATGCTTTGTCCCTGGAAGCCAGCAGCAAAGGATCGTTGTTGAACGCCTCGTGAACGATGGAAGTGAAGCGACTGTACAACTCCAAAAGTTTTTCCACGTATTTATTGGCATCCTTCAAGAGGTGCGGAAGATACACACACATAACATGCATCAGTCGTTGGAGAGCGTTCAGCGGTGAATTCAAATGCACAAGAGAAGCTGTGAAATCGCCAGAGTTCAATTCAATAAAAGATGAGTAGTGACAGAAGAGACCACAAGAACTATCCATGCAGCCAAATCAATCAGCATGAATATCGCATGAATTAATCACATCACCCAACACACAATATCAAGATAATGAAGCGGATAAGCGGCCCAAGAGCAGCAAGGAATGGATCGCATACACATTAGACCCCCAAAAAACATCCATCTCATTAGCTCCGTCGGACCACCACCACAATCATCACAATCATCATCATATTCATGCTGCTGCAGCAGTAGCATACCAAGGATGCGAAGCCTAAACTAAAATCTACGAACCAATAAACCTAGATATGACGCACGGACTGGGCAGAAGAATAAAACGAATTATCCTGTAACCGTGGTTCTATAAGGCAAATTAAATACAGCACATGATTTACGAATAGGTTTTGCAATCGTAGTGCAAGAGGGCAGAAATTGTAAAGTGTGCGGCAGCGTGCAGAAGATTTGGGCTGTGTCACAGTAACAGAATAACCTTGAAACGTCAAAGACATGTCAGTGATCGAGAGTGAAAGGAATGAAGGTTCAATATGGTAACCGACTGCAGCACACAGACTGAAAGCAATGCAGAATGAGCAGAAGAATTAGGGAATAGGGATATCGTGCCCTCAAGTAAGCAATCCAGGTTGGGGAATACATCAAAGTAGTTTTTGGACTTTACGATGATCATCACCATCATCAACAAAATCGCCATCGAGACTTTCACCACCAAGCCCATCAAAGGCAGTAGAGTAAAAATTGTCACAAGTACTTCGTCGTCATACAATCGCAGAATAATAGACACGGTCCGATGGTAATAAGAGGTAAAGCCAAGCAAACATTGAAAACCAAAGCAACGTCATGCTACGAAAAGGGCATACACACAAACATCTGGCCATCCGTACGAAGATAAGCTGATAGAAGTGATGTGGCTTCTTTGTGGAATCTACGGACTCGCGTCATTATCTACTTTAAGTCACAGAGAATAGTTGGAACTATGCTTCAGAAGATCTGGTCCTATGAACGAATGGTAGTTGATTTATCGTCATGTCGACATGTTATGTGCGGAAGTAAACCGTGGTGACGATTGCGTTACCGTCTCGCAAAGTTCTAGGTGTGCATCAAGGAAAAGCATCCTTCATCAAATCAGGTGGGACAATAGCTACTTAAACTTAGAGAGTGGATATCGCATAATATTGATGACAACTTCAAGAGGAAACAGAAGTCTAAGTTCTGAAGCAGACTTAGAAGGTGAATTGGGGTATCAGTGGACACACTGACCATTCCATAGGCATTATTGTTGGTCATACTGATAGCCACTCTCGCCCAACTCTTGGGATACAGACTATCATGAAACTTCCCATCAGACCAGAACAAGCGTTCCATTTAAAATGTGCTAGCAACATGGAGCCGTTTCCTGTCTGCAATGTGGCACCGTTTGGCAGTCTGGTCAATCCACAGCAAAACAAGCAATAAGGAAACCACCCATTGAAACGACTTTAGGTTCACACGAAAAGTGTCTACCTTAAAAACTCGCATGGACTGCCAGAAACAACCAGTTCCAAGTTTCATTTTTTGGCACAAAAATGGCTAAGACGGTGTAGCAAAACAAAAGCAAAGAGGAAAGGGTTTAAATGGACAGTCCTGAGATGATTTACTTATCGTGCTGAAGTCTTACCTGATATCGAGATACACAGTAGAAATACACACATAAAGGAATTTCTATAGTAAGTTTGTTAACTGATCCAGGTTATGTGAAACTGTTTTGATATCTGATATTTAGGTTCATCCACTCAGACATTCTTCTTCCTCTAAGACCCAGTCGCGTGGAAAACATTAGTCCGAGCAAAAAGCTTAGCTTGGTTAGCGCAGATCACAGCTGCAAAGGTTAGCTTCTGATGATGGGACGGCACAACCATTTCTTATTGATCAGCCCCTTCCATCCACAAGCGGAGAATTCTCTGGCCAATAGGATGCGAACCAACAGAAACTCCCTTGTGGCATACTCAAAAGACAGCCGGAAGAGGATCTACTTGAGAGATCCGACCCGGACTCAGTGACTAGTCTGAATCAAAAACTGAAGTTCAGCTACAGCGTTACAATCGGGAGACAAACGGGGATATGACTAAGACCAGTAACGAGCGGACATAGAAAGTTTAGGTTATTCAGTGGAAGATTTCGATGCGCTAGCAATTACGTCCAAAAGCGAGTTTTTATGGGTTTTCGACTTAGTGGGCCATTAAGAAAAGAGAAATGTTACCGAAAGTCAGTGATGATTAAAGGCGCAAACGTTCAGCACAAGTTTAGTCGTTTCAACAACCCATAAATTTGAACACACGTAGGCTGGTTATTCGCAGAGTATGACAAGTGATTAAATGTTGGAAAGTTTGCCAGTTCACCCAGTAGACGTTAGCGAAGCCAAAGGAGAATGAGGTCTAGCCAACCAGTGTATCCTGTTTGAATACGGCATCAAAGTGGCGGGTTCATGGACAAATAAGCTTAGGGCTAGCATGCCAAACTGTGATCCTATCGAGGGGTGCCGCACAAAGCAAAACTGTAGTTTCCTATATATATATATATATATATATATATATATATATATATATATATATATATATATATATATAAACAATTTTATAGGATCCTTCGTGTAGGACGCAGGTGTGCTTGCACAAAAATTTGCCAGTGTGATTTGTTTGGAGTAGGGTCGGTTAGTTGGGGAATTTGAATTATGCTAGCAGGTGCGAAATACCAATAAGGCGACTTTGTAGACATTTCGTGGAGTACATGAGTCAGTCGATCGAATCAGCCGGGGAAGCAGAGCAAGTAAGAAAAATGATGGGAACAAGCAATCAGAGTCCGTACCTTTAACATGGAGTCAGCACTGGACTGTATATCCTGCAGTCCTGCTTGCTTAACGTGTTGTTCAAATATGGGGAGCAGGTTTTCCGAACCCCCGGGCACACGGTAAATAAGCTCGTAAAATCGTCTCAATAGTTCCATGTTGTGTTCACGGAGAAGTTTGGGTATCTCAGTGAGCAACTGATCCTGTAACAAGCGCAAAACACAGAACAGAGAGAGTTAAGTCCATAAAATGTTTCAAAACGTGGTCGCTGCACAATAAGGAATACAGTAGTACACCTTGTCGGTTAGTCGGTAGGACCATAAGGTCCGACTTCCAAATGAACGAACAGGGACAAATGAAGGGGTATTAATAAACAACAGGATGCAGTAGATTAAATTAATAGTGAACAGTGAGTGTATACGGGTTAAGAAGCGCTGTTTAAAAGTTCCGTTGGATAATTGGTAGGGATATCAAAATAATAGTGATAATGATATTAATAACCAAAAAGTATTTCAAATATGGAAAGAAGCCTTTGACGCACTCTATTCCTCTCGGCCAGTTCAGGGCATTTTCCTTACACGGGTCCGACAAAATGATCAGAGTTTGGGAAAGAAAAATTTCTCGAACAGCGCCTTAACGGTGATACAAACGGGCAGTCTACAGAAGAACCGAACAGCAACTTGGAGATGAGGCTAACCTACAGGTGATTTTCATGTGGCATTCAGAAGTCATTTTTAAAAACAGAGATTAGGTCACACAAAGAACATGTTAGTCTACAAAAACAATCTCTTGTGAAGCAACAAAAATGACAATAAGGAAGCACATGTTTTCGATTTTTCAGTTTCAGACGTATACAATCGTGCGTGAGTCGAAATGTTTAGACAGACCACACAATCAGCTGAAACGGAACCAGTGCAGAATGGGCGCTGAGAAATATTACAGGTCATGCCGTGACTGTAGCCTTTGGTATGCACCGTTTACGATCAGTCAAATGTCGAGCCAGCCTTCATTTGGCGTACACAGCTTGTTCGTTAGAGTGGATCGCGATGGTCTCAGCTGTTCATAAGAGCTATCAGTGGACGTGTTTCGATAATCGAGTATTAGAGAAGACATTTTGCACGACCAGACCGGTTTGGGGATGTGGCCTGGATGAGCGATATGAGCGGCTATGCAAGAACCATCAGAACGTCCGCATCCAGCCCAGAAATGGGGCAGGAGACGTGTCATCATCCTGAAGGAAACAGGCCATGAACCACAGCTAGTGTATCTTGTTGCTCTGGTAAGACACAAGTTAGTTTGGTGCATAGAGTAAATCAGAAACTTCACCCGATTACGCGAAAGATGGTGAAATAGCATTTATGCAACAATTCTTCCTCCTCCTGGGCAGCATCTGTCAGAGAATTGATTTTCGTCCGGTTGTCAAGGTGACGGCCGCGACGTAACCATCAGCAGGACCGCTTTCTCCAGAAAGGAGTACATACGCTGTGGTTCATTAGTAGGTGTCTACGGGGCAAATTCATTTGCATCTAGGCTCACTAGACTGGTGATCAAGTTACGCTTTCGCCCAGGTGGCACGAAATAATGTCCACTCCAATGGCAATTGCAAACACGTGACACCGTGGAGGAAGATTGAAGCTCTTCTTGGCTATATTGCGAAAAGCGAAAATAGTCAGTTTTCCATCACGTAAGCGGACCTCATCGCGTCTCGAGTTTGATTGAACATGCCGGTAAGCCATTTGGGGAAGACAAAAAAACGTAGAGATAACATTGCTACAAACTGATGGATGTGATGGCCGATTGCAAGTTGCCGTAATCCGGCAAAATCAGCGGCGCTCAGTGAAACTCGGCTCGCTGAGCAAGGTATGTTGCATGAAGCAGGTGCTGGCTACACATTCGACTGGGTAGGCAACGCCGCCTCAGCACCACGTGAACACGCGGTCGGATTTGCAATATCCGATCGCCTTCATGGCCAGCTGGTGGGTGAACCAACAGGCATCAGCGGGCGACTGATGATTGTTCGCCTACGACTCCGAAGAGTTACGTTTGCCACCTTTATAAGCACGTACGGTCCGATGATCAATTCTACACCCAGCTATCCACCGTGATACGGTCTGTGCCGAGGAGCGACCGACTATTTCTACTGGATGATTTCAACGCGCGTGTTGGGCGTGATGCATCGGTGTGGACAGATGTTATCGATCTGCATGGCATTGGTTCAGCGAATGCGAACGGTGGCAGGCTGCTCTCACTGGGTGCCACTCACGGCCTGACTATCACGAACACTCGGTTTGCACTGCGTGCGAGTGATATAGCAACTTGGACGCACCCACGGAGTGGTCACGCTCACCTGCTCGACCATGTCATCGTACGTCACCGTGATATGCGTGAAGTGCGCATGACAAGTGTACGGTGTGGAGCTGAGTGTGACACCGATCACAAATTGGTGCGGACCAAACTGTACATATATTTTCGTAAAACTATGTATTGCACTCCCGCTGTGAATCGGCGTAAATTTAACATTCTCGCCCTCGGTACTATGGAGAAGCGTATTGAGCTGGAAAAGAAAAGGGATGAACGCCTGGGTGATGTGGACTGCATAGCCACAGTGGACGACCTGTGGGACCACATTCGCGACCAGGCGACAGCTAATGCCCAGGAGACCATCGGGCGCGCAAGCTGGAAACGGCCTGATTGGCTTGAGGAGAATAATGCGACGATTGGCGCATTGGTGTCGGAGAAGAATGCAGCATTTACCGCACATGTGGCAGACCTCAGTGACTTGGGGAAGAGTAGTCTGTTTCGCAAACTTCGACGGCGACTGACTCGCGAGCTCCGCCGCATTGAAAATGCATGGTGGACGGAAAAGGCGAAGCAGATGGAATGCTAAGCCGAACGCCGTCAACACAAGGAATTCTTTGACTCCTTGAAGGCAGTGTATGGATCGAGGTTGCAGCCGCTGAGGACACTAATCGATGGTAGCTCAGGCACACAGACTGCAGATATAATGCAGATCTGGCGAAAACACTTCGACTGTCTCTTGAACAACCATCAGAGATCGATTGGCCTACTTTAAACGGTCTGAAGCAGCATAATGTGAAAGTGAGATTGGCGGATACGCCGACACTGGATGAGACGCAGAGAGCACTTGCTCAGTTGTGAAACAGCAAGTATGCCTGCGCCGATGGGATCCCGCCTGAAGTATTGAAACACCGCGGACTCGCGTTGGTGACTGTGCTGCACCACCTGGTGCAACGCGTATGGATTGAGGAGGAGGTGCCTCCTGAGCTGTAGGATGCCCTTGTGCTATCACTGTACATGGGCAAAGGGAGCAAGCAATGTTGCACGAATTATCGTGGCATCAACTTGCTGAGTTGTGTGGGCAAGGGGATTGCCCGAATCCTGCTCAACTGGCTCGTCAGTTAGGTTGTGGAACCGAACGTGGCAAAAGAGCAATGCGGATTCCGTCCGGATGACAGCACCCTAGATATGGTGTTTGCGAACCGTCAGCTGCAGGAGAAGTGCAGAAAACGACATGAGCCTTTGTGCTCGCTGTTTGTTAATTTTATCAAAGCATTTGATATGGTGAAATGCGTGGTATTGTGGCTTGTGTTGGATAAATCTGGCTGTCCGAGTAAGTTCGTAAGCTTAATTGGATGTCCGCACAGTAGTATGCGGGCGAGGGTGCAGCTGAGTGGAGAGACTTCGGATGACTTTGCAGTTGTCTCTGGTGTGAAACAAGACTGTGTCTTAGCTCCTGCCCTGTTTAATATACATCTTCATGCAATGATATATTGCGCTTTTGATGCTACTTGTGCTTACGGTGTTCGTGTGGAGCACCGTATTGATGGTTGGTTACTGAACATCCGTCGTTTCGGTGCGAGAACTAGTCTGTGAGACAACTATCCGTATGTTGCTGTTCGCAGACGACTGTGCATTATATGTACACAGCGCGGATGAGTTACAGCACATGACTAGTGCTCTGGCTTTGATAGCTGCCAAATGCGGCCTCACTATCAACACAAGCAAAACTGTCTGTCTCTTTTAGCCCTCACTGGAGGTGCAATCTGCAATGGTGCCGCAAATCAGATTTGGTGACGAAATATTGGAAACCACCTCCCGCTTCTGCTACCTTGGGAGTGTGATATCGACTGATCAGCAGATACACAGTGAGCTGCGTATCCACGTTTTGAAGGCAGCGGCGGCATTCGGGAAGCTAGAGTACCGAGTGTGGAACAACCATCAGCTTACCATTGGCACGAAGCTGATGGTGTACAAATCCATGGTACTGTCCGTCCTTCTATACGGCAGTGAAACGTGGACGATGTACCGTCGAGATGTGATATGTCGAACGGTTCCATCAGCAGTGTCTGCGACGTATTTTGCGGATCGGTTGGGGCGCCAGAGTTGCAGACACGGAAGTGTTGTGCCGAAGTGGGATGTATGCAGTGGACTGCATACTTTTATTGAGACACCTGAGGTGGCTCGGTCATGTGTGCCGAATGGATCCGACGCGTATACCGGAGCAGCTTTTATAAGATCAGCTGAGTAGTGGAAAGCGGCATGTGGGGAAACCGAAGTTTCGTTACCAGCACATGATCAAATTGAGCCTATCACATTCTAATGTTGATTGCAAGTCATGGGAATCGAAGGAGTTTGATCGGCGTGCAGGACGCGATCTGAACACGAAGGCCGTTGCCGAGATGTAAGCGAAAGCCCTAGTGCATGCAGAGAAGCGGCAAATGCGGAAGCAACAGCAGCCGATGGGGTGTACTCCATATACTTCGAGCGCGTGGTGCTGTAGCACATGCAGTCACCAGTACCTGAGTCAGGCAGGCCTAGTGAGCCAAGAGGGAGTCCACTAGGGAACAGCATCGAGACGACGGGTCATGCGGAAAATGTAGGCAGAACTGGCGCAGCGTTAGTAGGTACGCTGCATTTGATTTACTAACCGCGCGCTTGCGTGCAGTGTTTCTTTATTTCAGTTGAGAGGTTTGCCATCGTGTCTTAACGCATATCATTTTAAACTTTGCCTGAACTTGCAAAGGTGGCTTAATCCAATAAAGGTTAAGTTCGCTAACATTTGAGCGTTTGTGGCACTTTGTAAAAATATATTTGCTAACATCTTGCACTTATCGAGGATTTATTGGTAACCAATTTATTACGCACGCTAATTTAGCGCAGATTTATAACAGCATTTCCGCATGCTTTATGCGATATACATTATGTCACTCCTATTTCAAGGGATTGGCTGTTGCTTGATATCCCCGGTGTGGCTGCGCTTGATGTGTATGTTGACAAGGTGCCTACCTGTCTATTACCCACTACCTCGTTCATACTGACTCCAGGAGACAGATGGTCGTTGCTGGAGGGCACGGGGTGCACGGTCCTCGTGGCCGTGTTAGGCTCGTAGAGTGCTTCCATGCACATAGTGTGGAGCGGACTACGGTCCAGCCACCGTCTTGTGTGCGCTTGAATCCCCAAATACAGCGTGCATGTGTTTGCCTATGAAGGAGTGTGGGCCCGCTCCGTTGATGAAACGTGGCTCCCATCCACATGCCTGCCGGTCTTATTCCTTCGGGTTTACACTAGATATGGGGTGTGTGGTTGGAGCTGTGGGTGGTGCAGCGCAAGTCACCCGTGGTCCCTCTGTAGGCGCAGGCATAGTGTGGCTGGCCACAGTGACAGGCAAATCCGAAACCGGATGCCGCCAACCATATGCGCATGAAGCTACTGAGAGACCATCAGGCCATCTGCATGAGTGTGTAGATCGTAAAGATACCACGTTGATTTTGCTGATATGGGATGTAACCTGCTGTGATGTGACAATCAGAAGTGATACGACTAGCATATAAAGTGAAATGATCGAGCAATGCCAGCGTTACAGCTTCGCTTTGCATCAGCAGTTCCGAGATAGGAAGGATACGGTGAAGCGTACACCCCACTAAGACAAGTAACCCGGTAGTACTTGCGCAGTAGCTCGTTTCGATTCTGCGAAACTCATTTTCCAACAAACGCTAAGTTTACCAATCAATAGAATATCCACTCTAAAGGAGGCCTATGATATGTTCTTTTTAGCAAAATCAGAAAGGAAAAAACATAATAAACAGTCCTGAAACGCTTCATTTATCGTGCTCAAGTCGTACCCCGTATCGAGACTCACAGTAGAAACACACACATAAGAGTTTTCCTGGTAAGTATCTCAATAATTGGCAGTACCACCATCAATTGAGTTGAAGGTGACCTTCAAGCCAAGGTGATGTGCCGTCCATATACATGTAATTTCTCTGAAGTGGGATAGGGATCTGGAGCACAGGTGGTACAACCCAAAGAGGTGGACAGCTAGGGAACAGCTTCCCTTAAGCTCATACTCGATCTCGAGAGTCGAGGTAAGAAGGGGGTTTCGTGTTTCTCCTTACATTCCTTATGATTTCCGACACTACTATCCTGTTATTATTAATAAAGCGACATGATCCACGACCTCTCGGTTTACCGAACTAGGGTGCGCAGAACATAATAATAACAACGGATTTGAGTAAAGGAATTACAATTGGCTGATATCTCGCCATGATTCCTATAAGACACACATCAGTCAATTTGCAAGACGGGAATGACAACGAACAACCGCCAACCTGAGTACGCTCCCTTATACGCCGTAGTAAAAATAATGTATCAGCTGTACGCCGTAATGGCGCTTTGCTGCCGTGCGACCACCACCAGTCGCACGCGGGCTGACTATACCGCACGGACGCGCACCCCTACGCGGGTTCGAACCCGTATCATCAGATAACAAGACAAGCTCGTTACCACTACGCTACGGGCCGACCTCTTATACGCCAAAAAAACAAACAGGGCGGCAAAAAAATTCACCAGTGAATCGCCACTTGTATGCAGGAGGACAATCAGAACGACGTCTTCTGATCTTCCACAGTATAATCAGCACGTATCGGATCACATCGGAGCTGATAGTTGTGATAGCACTGTTGCCCTAAACGGACTCAATTACCCTAATCGACAGTGGTGACATAAAGGGCCAGCGGAATTTCTTTCGAAATGCTTCGGTTTAACGCTTTTTTACATCGAGTGGCCCACTCGCGGGAGCTTGTTGTAGACCCGTGAGCAAAAGGAGACAGAACAGCATTCAGCTGTTTCTAATGGCGCTGATCATCCTAATCCATGAACGTACTCGGTTAGACGTAAGACCTTCCATCAAATGCTGTTGAAAGGTATTGAGAACGCTCTGTGACTGTTAAGTCGGCAGTACGATATCTTTTGCTTTAATATAACTAAGCGGAAACTCGGAAGCATGCTAAGTATACGGACATCTCACGCCAAGTGGACAAGCAGCCTAGCGATCTCTTTCCACAGCGCACTGGTGGAGATTCCAATCGATATTCAGTTCGTACACTTTCTTTTTCAGTGACTTAAGTTGATAGTGCTGCGTCTCAAAGTGCTAACACTGTTGAACAGTATGTAGATAACCGAACTTCATAGAATGAAAACTGTGGAGGAGCGTCAAGTCCGCTAATACAATCCGAAATAGTTAGCAATAGATGCATAGGGATGCCTTTACCTTGTATGTGACTCGGGGACATGTCAAATCCAGTGGAGTGCGGAGTCAGCATATGCTAGTAGATTGGTCTGACACAGCGTAGAAAGGACGGAAATGTAAAGAATCACTAGTACTGAAAAAGAGATGAGTTCGGTTGTTATCGTGAAAGACATGCTAATTTGGAAAGATGAACATTGATAAGCGAAGTGCTGTGTTAGGTAACGATAGCTCACTCCAATAAAGAGGGATATTGGTCAATGTCTTCATCGCCAGCCTTTGAGTTAAGAGTTCAGCTGGCATGACAGTAGATAGCGGATAAGGTCCGGAAACTGAACTGCAGAGCCCCATAGAAATGTGTTTGAAGCTGTAGGTTTAAAATAACAAATAAACATTTCCCGGTCATCGCAGATGCTACATCCGCGACCACAATCGAAAGTGAGCGGACGGCTCTGCACATGATTGACAGTGTGCCGTCCGGTTTTATGTAGGTGGCACCAAATAAGTGAACGAAAAGTGTTCTCTTTTAACTGCCAATAACTGTCCACGGTGCTAGTGTTCAAACTCAAAATCACCAAGCCATTGTCGCCTGTTAGATCTTCCCAATATGTTGTGATTCCGGATAAAAACACGTAACTCTTCCGCAAGACCTTCAGCCTAACCGAAAAAGTCAAACGACCTAGACAAAATACATTGCAAACCATCGCAAAAAACACTATACAGTGGAGGTAGACCTTGGCCATATACATAGGTAACCCAATAAGCTTCGACTTCCAGAACGAAAGGAGCAACTGGTATCGATCCGTAGGTCGGTGCCCGGGTGGTCTGCGCACCTGATTTGCAACCATAAGGTCCCCCGTTCGAATCCGCGTAGGGGTGGGTGCGCGGCAGTGAAGCGCAGTTACGGCGCACAGCTGACACAATATTATTATTATTATTATTATTATTATTATGATCGATCCAGCCAATCTTCAGGTTGTGCGGTCAGCTGCGGTCTTAGAACATGTCAGAATGTCCGAAATCGATGCGATGATCAGTAAAACACTCAATGAATCGCTAAAATAATGGTTGTTTTTCGGGAAATGCCTACTTTCTCCTGGACACATGACGCACCTCATGCTGCGATAAGCGGGATGAAGAGATTAGGTTTGTTCTACTTCTACTCCTTCCGTACGCGTAGTTTGAACTCAGCTTGAGGAAGGTGACCAACCGCAGAGCTACAACACACTGACGATTGGTGGTGAACCGTCTGCAAGGAAACGGTTCAGCTCGGAAGACAGACCAAAATCTGAACCCCAGTCCTATTGAGCAAGTGAACACAGCTGCGTACTGATGTTGCGGTCCAGTAAGACAGACGACGATTCCAACACGTATGAAGAAGAAAAAGTGATTTCAGTGTGAAAAGGAACCTCAATAGGTGTAAGATTTCTGAGCTACGGGGGACGGCAACGACCATCGTAAATAAGTTACTAGATGTGATCTAGCGGCGCTCACTATCCACTGACTTACACGTTGCTGCCATGCAGAGGACAGGGTAGCACCTCACCAAGCGACGAGCTTACTAGACTTAAGACGCCAATTAACTTATGGCATTATAAGCAGTTTGGACTGCAAGTTCGAGCCCTACCAGGGTCCGATGAAATGTGCACTGCTGACGATTCCCAAAAGAATGAAACGCGCGTACAGTGCTTTTCTGGGTGTGTGACGGCTGTCTGAGTGAGTCTAGATGTGACGAATTTCTACCTATACCATTCAACTCCCCCTACAACTCCTCTGTAGGGAGATTTGTTAAGAAGGAATAAGAAATTAGTCGTCTCAGTGATGTATGGTACAGTTGGAATGCGTGGAACTAGAAGTACAAACGTGCAAATTAGACTTGACAGGCTTACACAAACATAAGAAACATCGGAAGTAAAAACGTCACATACCATGTAGTCAATTACAAATATCCGAACACACGCTTTCATCAAGGTTGTCACAGAGCTGCATTCCTGCGTTGTTTCCAAATAACGTTTCCCCCGCTCTCCTTCCTCCAGTAATCTTTGTGTGGCATATTGAGTGTACTCCTAGATGAGGGATAAGTAAGCAGAATACAGCACTAACAGATACAGAAAAGATGTAAAGCATTTAGACAAGACGATAATCGCCCACCTGGGTGATAATAAGCTGAGAGATAAAAGTGTGGGGAAATTCAATATATCGGCAGTAGTCAGCAAGCCTAAACATCATTAATACGATGGCCAACTGAACTCAATGCTTTGAAATGTAGGAACCGACCAACTAGTCAGTCAAACTGCATGAGCCACCACCCCTGTGGATTGTGCGAACGAAGCAGCCAGGGTCTTACACCTGCTTGACCTAGCACATGGCAAGCGAGTGTCCGGTATCGGCAAAATAGACCTGATAATCATCGTCTGTTATGTCATCATCATTATACACGTCAGCTAGAGGTAGGAAACACCTCAGCTACTGTGCCGCAATACATAAAGGAAAAGGAAAAGAAATGAAATAGTTGCATGCCAGCTGAGCTACCACCAACGGATAGGCATCGTTCCGATAAGCTACCAGCCAGGTACTGGGCAAAAAGAAAAAAATATTTTGTTTTACCTTACGAAATGAGATCGTAGGTGGAGGGGGAGGCTAAAAGGGATGGGGAGGGACAAAGAAACTCACAGCACGAACGCCACTGAGGTCGGCTCCTTGTCATGTCAGCAAGTGTATCCAGCCAAACGTGTTCATCGTCTGTTGGACCCCAACGAGGGAGCCGTGACGCTCCAACCGAGGCCAGCTCCGAAGTGATGGCCTTCATTCCTCTGGACCAAGTCATCGCTTGGCCAACCCTCCTTTTCTTCCATCCACATCCCCGGTGAGCAAACAACGCACGTCGTGGAAGTCGGTGGGCTGGCATGCGCAACACGTGGCCGAGCCATCGGAGCCTGGTGCGTGAAATGACGGTGCTGAGCGGTTCAGTCCCTTTTCCTGTGCGGTAAACAAGGCGTCGAACACGCCCGTTGCTCACGCGGTGTTCCCAACAGATGTGAGCTAAATTACGAACACACCGATGGTCGAAGGTAACTATCCTCTTCATGTTCGCCGATCTCAGGTGCCAGGTTTCGCAACCGTACAGTAAGGTCGAACGTACAGCTGCATTGTATACTCTACCCTTCAGGGAGACAGTAATGTCGTGCCGCCGCCATACATGGCGAAGGTTAGCAAAAGCACCTCAAGATTTTGCTATACGATTCGTGATCTCGTCTTCGATCCCAAGGGCGATGATACAACTTCCCAGGTAGTTGAATTTCCAAACGACTTCTAGCTGATTCCCACCAAGGGTCAGCGCAGGAGGCGATCCTTGCCAATTTTGGAGGAACGCTTTGCATTTCGATGGTGCAAAGCAAAGTGCACCAACTAACCTTCCTCCTATAATTCCCAGCTTAATTGACAGCAACCGAAGTGCTACTGGAGTAGTACCGTCTGCAGCCACCATCCCACAGCACCTATCGGACGCCTATCGGCAAAAGTCCCTTATAAGGCCACGCTGTCCCGTTTCCATGGCGACATTCAACGTCCACACTCTAAGACAAACAGGTCAGCGGGCTGCACTCGCATCCACCTTGGACACACTGGGTGTTGATGTGTGTTGTGTGTCCGAAACTAGGATCAATGACCCTAACGGGGTTATTGAATTGACTGCACCCGGCTTATCCTCTCGTTATTGGTTGCACGCATCCGGAGACACCGATGTAGCACTCACGGGTTAAGCTGGTGTAGATATCATTCTAAGCTCCAAGGCTGAGCCATCGTTAGTTGATTGGATTTCGGTGAACAGCCGTTTATGTGCAGCCCATTTGACGACATCAGCTAAGGTGAATTCGCGAAGTAAAACAAAACGCTGTTTGTTTGTGATTTCCGTTTATGCTCCCACCGACAGCAGCTCTAATGCAGTCAAGGACACTTTCTATCACGAACTGAACGCGCTACTACACAGTGCTACTAGTTCAGATATTATAGTACTTGCAGGGGATATGAACGCACAAGTAGGGCGTCTGAGCTCTTCAGAAGCTCAGCTGGGTGGTAAGTATGGACTTAACGCCGAACGGACTGACAACGGCGAGCGTCTGCTGCAACTGTGTGCGGTGCACCAGTTGTTTCTTACTAGCACTGCTTTTAGACACAGTGGGCGCCGAAGTGCCACTTGGCGTCCACCTGTAGCTGGCCAGCGATGGACCCAAATTGACCACATAGCCATAAGTTACAGGTGGCGCGGTTCCATGCTGGATTGCCGCTCATACTGCAGTACCTGTGTCGACTCTGATCATGCCTTTGTGCGTTGTCGTTTCTCCATGAACTTTACCGGAAGGCGCACAAAGCGTCTCCCCCGATTGGCAACGGAGAAATTGTCCCAGCCCTCTGTCAGGCAAGCTTATCAAGCAACACTGTATACCGAACTTCCCCTGTCTTGTCCTAATGACACTGAGCTTCAGTGGAATAGGATCTCGGCCGCCATGCATGACGCAGGAGCATCTGCTGGTGGCACTATCCATCGCCAACGCACCAGTCACTAAATATCCGAGAGGTCGATGAACCTGTTGGAAGCTAGAAGACACCTCCCGGCTGGCTTTGAACACAATGTGACCAGACGGACTATTAGGCGTGAACTAAAGCGGAGCCTACGTGCTGACAAGGAAACCTGGTGGACCAGTAGGGTTCAAGAAATGGAGGAGGCAGGAGCAGTAGGGAATTATCACAAGCTCTTCCAGCTTATCCGCACCACTGGTCCCAGAAAACCAGGCGTCAGTGAGACAATCAGAGACAGCGCGGGTGCACTGATACACAGTAAGGAGCGCCGTATGGCTCGTTGGGCGGAACACTTTCAAGATCAGTTCAGCTGGCTCCCTGCTCCCGGACCTCTTCTTACTCAGGTGATGCAGGACGAGCCATGGACGGTTAGTTTAGAGCCTCCGTCGGAGGCCGAGGTCCGAAACGCGATCACAGCTCTTAATCGTTTTCGTGCCGCTGGCCCGGATTCCCTTACACCTGCACTATTTAAGGATGGAGGTGAGGTTCTCTGCAAAGCACTAACCTCCTTATTCGAATGTATCTGGAAAGAAGTGTCCCGGCTAATTGGAGCAATTATAGTGGCAATATACAAGAAGGGCAGTCGCACAGACTGTACGAACCACAGGGGTATTAGCCTAACGCCAGTTGTGACAAAATTATTGGCCTCGATCCTCGTTCGTCGTCTCAATGCGGAACGGGAATCTCGGATTAGGGAAGAGCAGGCCGGTTTCCGCCCAGGACGTGGCTGTATAGACCATATATTTACTTTGCGGCAGGTACTAGAGCAGCGCCACGCACACCGCAGACCGACAATAGCTGTGTTCCTCGATTTCAAGAGTGCGTTCGATTCAGTCGATCGATCGATTCTGTTCGAAATACTTGCGCGGAAAGGTGTTCCCACGAAATATGTGAACATCCTTCGTGCTCTATACTCGAAAACTACAGGCCGCGTTAGGGTCTATGGTGCCCTATCGGATAGCTTTCCGACCAAAAGTGGCGTTCGTCAGGGTTGTCCGATTTCCCCGTTTTTGTTCAATTTCGTCGTGGATTCTATCATGGAGTGTTCCCTTGGGGAATCTCACGATGTAGGTGTTGAAGTGCTGCCTGGTGAACGGTTGGTTGATCTAGATTATGCAGACGATATCGTCTTGCTTTTCGACAATGTTGAGGCGGCACAATCAACCCTGAATAGCCTATCCAGAGTGGTCCCATTATTTGGTATGCACTTCGCACCTTCAAAGTGCAAAGTGTTGCTGCAGGACCACCAGCCACTTGATGACCCCTTGACGCTTGCTAACGAGGAAATCGAGGTGGTTGATCATTTCACTTATCTTGGCAGCTGCATCAGCAATGATGGGCGCATAGAAACTGACGTGAGCTCACGCATTGCAAAGGCCAGAGCTGCCTTCTTGAACCTGCGTCATCTTTGGCGACAGAAGGGAGTTTCCTTCCGTCTGAAAGGCCGCGTATACAAGGCCACAGTGAGGGCCGTTCTGCTCTATGGTAGTGAGACTTGGCCCCTTCGGTCTGATGATCTGAGACGTCTTCAGTTCTTTGATCATCGTTGTCTGCGAAGCATTGCTGGTGTCGGATGGCACCAGCATGTCCGCAATGATGATGTGCGTAGGCGAGTACTCGGTGGTGATAATCATGCTAGCTCCCTAGAACAACAGATAGCACTGAATACGTTGCGTTGGCTCGGGCACTTGCTACGCATGCCTGGTCACCGCTTACCTAGGAGAACCTTGTTCAGTCTCCCTGGTGTAGGGTGGCGCAAGGCTCGAGGTGGACAGAAGTTGACTTGGCAGCGGGAAATGAAGTCACTGACGACCAAACTGGGTGCCGTTGGTCCGTCTCGCCTTCCGGGTTGGAGTCCACGTGACTCGCCTTGTGCTTGGCTCGAGACTTTGCAGGACATGGCTCGCAACCGACACCAGTGGCGTGTCTGCTGCCGTCTCCTAATCGGATTGTCTGTTTAAAGTGTGTTTGGTGCTGAGTTATCTGCGGGGTAATGGCTGATTATGACGCGTGGCAGTGAAAGCCGCAAGGAAGCTGTCTCGCCGATGCCGTCTTATCTTTGCCCGATGGCTAGCTGTTGTGACGGTATGTTTTCTACACAAGGTGTAGGCGCCTTGACCCTGAATGTTTGCTTAGGGCATTAAGGTTTTCAGGCAAGTCCCCCTTCTCTTCCTCTTCTTATTCTTTATTTCATAGGTCATCATGGTTGTATGGCAGCGAAGCATCAGTTCAAATGGCTGATGTACTGCTGTTGATGATGATGTGCTTTCTGAAGAAATAAAAGCCAAACCCACAAAGTAAGTACGAATCACTCGTCACCCGAACGCTGCACACTTTGGCAAGCCCAACTTATTAGAGTAACACCAGAATCCTCAACTGATGTGGAAAACGTTCTGCTATCCGCAAACGCGCTGCAACATAGATCGTTTGGGACACGTATCTATCCCGATGTTCCGTGGAACATGCAACAGTCGAAAAGATACTCCGA